AATAATAATAATAATAATAATAATAATAATAATAATAATAATAAAAATAATAATAATAATAATAATAATAATAATAATAATAATAATAATAATAATAATAATAATAATAATAATAATAATAATAATAATAATAATAATAATAATAATAAAGAACCATAAAGAAATACAAAAATGAAACAAAAAGATCAAAAGTGAGAAACAATATACTGTATGAATGTTGTGTTGTCAAAGTAAGAGAAACAATTGAGACCTGCAATTGTGTGTAAATGAGGCAGAAAGTCAGATCAGCAACCTGGGACTTGGTCACAATTTTCGTGATGCCATATGGCAGCAGGGTCTACCATTAGACAACACATTATGCTTCCAATATCTTCCCTGTTTGTACAATTTGTATGATTTGATTTCTCTTCTCAGTTCCTAAATAATAAAGTTTCTTTTCTAAATTATTCAAAGGACCTACACAATCAATTACAATTCTGCTAAAAGGTTTGCAAAATGCAGGAATTGGCTTCAGTGGTGCCGGTTGTATAATCTGGTTGGGCTTGCCCACTTTCTGACATATCTCACAGATTTTACAATACTCAGATACATTTTCTATATATTAGGCCAACAAAAATGAGTTAGTAGCCTGTCAGTTGTCTTGCTGACTCCCAAATGTCCAGACAAACAAGAATCATGGGATAAAGCAATAACATGTTCCCTATATTCTTTTGGAATAATAATGTGCTTCCTAACCTCCCAATGATCCGATGCTGGAACATCAGCAGGCCTCCACTTTCTCATTAACACACCACTTTGTACACAAAAGCCAATTGATACATCACTCTCACCCCAATTCTCTTAGCTTCACTCCAACATTCCCTCAAACTCTCGTCGCTGTTCTGTAACCTTACCAATTCCTCCTTGTCCACAACAAAATCTGGTATACATCAATTTTTCCTTCTACAGCACACTCCTTATTATTTTCCAACTCTCCTGTATTATCTGTGGTCATAACATCCTCTTTACCAAATATATCACCTATTCCCAAATCATCATCAAACTCTTCTCTTCTCTTTGACATTACCCTGGTCACAACACAAGCTGGGTACACAATTTCATTATACTGTATATCACCATCAGGTTTACACGTCTTTGAATCATCCAACACATCTACATTTTTCACAACATGGTCCACCTCTACAGTAGCCCCTTCATCAAATGGATTTTCACACATGATAGGCTCTGGGACCACCTTGTCACCAGCAAATCATTACCCAATAACATCTGTACTCCAGGTACTTCCCGTACCTGGAGTACCCAACTTTTAAAATGCCACTCACAAATCCACTCTCAAGATTTACATTATGTAATGGGACAGTCATTCCTGACCCTAATCCTCTTAAATTCACTTCTTCACCAGAGTAAGACTCATCTGTCCGCTCTAATACATTTTTCAAAATCACACTCTGATTTGCTCCAGTATCTCTCAATATTATAATTATCTTCTCAGGACTACCTTTAATCCCAACCTTTCCTTCAGTAATAAATGGCTCAAAATTCACAGTTTTTGGCTTACTCACACTGTACTCGTTACCTCTTACATTACAAATATTCCGTGGCCTTCCCGCAACAGTTAATGCCGCAGACTTTGGGCCACTCTAACACTGATATTTAGCATGGCCAATTTCACCACAAAGATTATAATTGGACTGAAGTCTTGGATGTTTATATTGTGTTTGTCCTTGTGATCTATTCCCTACAGTATTTTGCGACACCTGGTTAGGTTGACCTCCCTTAAAATAATTTGGACTAGACTGCTTAACATTTGAATAGTTCTGATACTTATGATTTCTGTCATAATTCTGGCTTCTACTATGCCTTACTCGTAAATAACTGGGATGCCAATCATCTTTTTTCCCCTCAAGCTGTAAAACATCTACTGCAATGCATCCTTCCTGCCATGGTCTAAACCTTAAATATGTTTGTAATGAAATGCAATATTTATCTACTCCATCATAATATTATACAATAGCCTCGCATACTTGGACACATTGCCAAGATCTGTTCTTTCATTTAAGCACATTATTGTACAGGACAATCTATTATCTCCTCCTCTCCTAATGGTCCTAAGAGTAGCGGCTACAGCAAGTTCCTTTACTCTATGTTTTATACTTAGTAAATCTAACTCCATTCTAGTGTTCCGTTGACAACCTCAAACAATTCGCATGGCCTCGTTTCGTATCACTTCATGCTTTTGAATAACTTTTTTACTATACATTATAAGGATAGGAGCTGCATAGTCAATAACTGAACGTATAGTACTGATATAAACCATCCTTAAAATAGGAATACCTGAGCCATTTCCCTTCCATGCCAAAGCTCTTAAAGGTCTTAAACGTCCTTTACATGCATTCTCCAGGCACTGCAATTCACGTAATTTACTGTTGGACTTATACCTAATGTGCATCAACTTTTTCTAGCCTTAATCCATTCAAAAATAAATCCCCTTGTTTATAATTTCTGACCTGATATTTAGTTTTTCATTGTTCATTTCAAGGCCCATTCTACAACAAAGTGTACTCAATGCATCTAAAGCCACTTGCATGTTTCTCATACATTTACACTGTAAAAGTATATCATTAGCATATATTATAACTTGTGTCTCCAGGAAATTCGTAGCGAGCCATTATGTTCTTCAATATGTTAAAAAGAGTGGGGCTAAGTACACCTCCCTGTGGAGTCCCCAACTCCTCTTTCTTCCGAGTACCAACCCTGAAACCATACTCTAGCCCAGTGGTTCTCAACCTGGGGGCCATGACCCCCAAGGGAGCCACGGCAAGAATTTAGGGGAGCCACGGCGAGCTGTTATAAATTGTACGTTTCCAAATAATGTTGGGAATCTGAATTAAACAAAACTTGTATTACTTATTTTGACTTGGCAGAAGAGAATTTTCATTCTTTTTTGTCATTCTGTTTAATCATAACGACAATACAATTTTAATATTTGCATACTCTCGTGCTAATTTTTTTTTTTTTTTACGGATTATATAAGATTTCACAGTTCCAGTCCCTGTCTGTGTGACAGGCGCTGGACCGAGCTGCTGAACTGACTTGTTCAGTACGTGTCCGTGTGATGATAAGACCGAATGATCTCAGTCTGGCCTGGGATACCGCATCAGAGGCTTCTGAGAAAATTAAGGCTCATGGTATCGAGGGGAAAGTTTTAAATTGGATAAAATCATGGCTCACCGATAGAACGCAGAGGGTCAGCGTGGATGGTGTTAAATCTGAGTGGGGCCGTGTAACCAGTGGGGTTCCCCAGGGGTCAGTACTAGGCCCACTCTTGTTCATAATCTACATAAACGATCTAGATACTGGGATCAGCAGTGACATAAGCAAGTTTGCCGATGACACCAAAATAGGGCGGTAGATTAATTCAGGGCAGGATGCAAATGCATTACAGGAGGATCTAAATAAACTGCAGGGGTGGTCTGAAAAATGGCAAATGAAATTCAACACCAGCAAGTGCAGCGTACTTAATATTGGACGAACAAATACTGACAATGTATACAGCCTTAACAACATCAACCTAGAGAAGTCGACTTGTGAAAGAGACCTAGGGGTACTTGTAAGCCCGGATCTACGGCACAGAAAACAGTGCGTTAATGTTCGAAATAACGCAAACAGAGTATTGGGTTTTATATCTAGAAGTGTAAGTAATAAGAGTGCAGAGGTCTTATTGCAGGTATATCTTGCGCTAGTCAGGCCGCACCTCGATTATGCGGTTCAGTTCTGGTGCCCTTATTATAGAATGGATATCAATTCACTAGAGTCGGTGCAGCGAAGAATGACGAAAATGATTCCGGGTCTTAGAAACCTTCCATATCAGGATAGGTTAAAGAAACTTAACTTGCATTCCCTAGAAAGACGAAGAGTGCGGGGAGATATGATAGAAGTATTTAAGTGGGTGAAAGGAATCAATAAAGGGGATATAGATAAAGTTCATATAATATCCGAGCAGGATAGGACTCGGAGCAACGGATTTAAGTTGGATAAGTTTAGGTTTGGGAGGGAGATAGGAAGGAACTGGTTCACAAATAGGGTGGTGGACGAGTGGAACAAGCTTAGCAACTTTGTAGTAAGTGCTGGAACGCTGGAAAGTTTCAAAAGGAGGCTAGATAGATTCATGGATGATAGAGAGTGGTAGTAACTCTCGACAGGAGCTGCCATGCACAGGCCAACCGGCCTATTGTAGACTCCTTATTTTCTTATGTTCTTACGTATGTTAAAACAGTGGAGTGTATTGTCTCTGAACCATATATTGTGTTTGAGCTTGCCTCAAGCATAATATACTCCTTAATTGGTGTTACTTATTTTGTTTCATAATTCATGTGGTCGCTGCTTTACGTGGGTGAAATATTTGTACACTTCCTTTATTAATTATTTCCTTATTTATTGGTGCCATTGTTGTTCATACTCATTCTTTACTTATATAATCCTACCATTTTTAGTGCTAAATTGGTATGACTCACTATTCTTCTCATTCTTCCAAGTTGGGCAGTGCTTGTCAAAGGAGGCGTGTTCTTGCTTACAGGAAGTACACTTCAGCTTGCTAATTTGAGTGTGAATGTTTACCTGTGTGCATGTTTGTGTATGACTGCATGTGTGCTTTATGTGTGAGTGCATGGGCGTGTTAGGTATGTGAATGTGTGTGTTTGTGTTTGCCATTCTAACTCTTGTCCTATTTATCTGTCCTTCTTTATCATTCTTTAGTCTTTATCACTTGTCTGTTTGTCTGTTCGGACATTCTGTCTTCTTTATTTTCTCTAGATTTGTGATGGCTACTAGTGTTGCTAAGAAGCGGAAGTACATCGATGGATACATTAACTACGGATTTACATCAATCCTCGCTGATGGCATTGAGAAACCTCAGTGTGTGCTGTGCTTCAAAGTGCTGGGGAACGATTCTATGAGGCCTAGTAAGCTGAAGCATCATCTGATGACGATCCATCCACAGTATGCGGAGAGAGACCGATTTCTTCAGGCGCCATGAACGGAGTTTGGGAAAACAGAAACTGGACGAGAGTGGTGCTTTCCAACAACAGACCGTAAGTGTAGTTGAGGCATCATACGAGGTTTCCCTCGAAATAGCAAAGCAAAAGAAGCCCCATACAATTGGTGAAACTTTAATTAAGCCATGTGCTTTAAGAATGGTCAAACGGGTTCTTGGAGAGGCAAGTGAACGTAAAATTCAACAAATTTCCTTGTCAAACGATACAGTGAAACGGAGAATTAATGAAATGTCAGATGACATAAAAGAAAGAGTGATACAGGAGATCAAATTATCTCCAACTGGTATGTTTGCAATACAGCTGGATGAGTCAACGGACGTGAGTTCTTGTGCACAGCTACTCGTGTTTGTTAGGTATGTTTTCTTGTGTGACATCAAGGAGGAATATCTGTTCTGTACACAGCTTGAGACCACCACAACAGCTGTAAATGTGATGGAAAAGCTGTCTTCTTTCTTCACAGCTAACAGGATCAGCTGGGAAAATTGTTGTGGAATCTGTACGGATGGGTCTCCGGCGATGCTGGGATCAAAATCGGGGCTCCAGAAGCGTGTCAAGGAAGTAGCTCCGAATGCCAAGGGGATCCATTGTATGATCCATCGTTTTGCATTGGCATCGAAAACCCTCCCTGATGAACTTTGCAAGATTCTGGAGGTAGTGGTCAAATGTGTCAACTTTGTGAAAGCTGGAGATCTGAACTCTCGCTTTTTCTAGAACCTTTGAAGAAACATGGATTCAGAGCATGAAGCCCTCCTCTTTTACTCCAAAGTGCGCTGGCTTTCCAAGGGCAATGTTGTGAATCGAATGTTTGAACTTCGGGGAAGTTGTTCCTGGAAGTGCAAGGGAAAGATGATCTGTTAAGTCACTTCAATGAGGTGTTGTGGGAGCCACGTCTTGCATATTTAGCAGATATATTTGAGCAGCTAAACAGGCTGAATCTCAAGCTGCAGGGCAAGGACAGAAATGTGTTTCACCTCATGGATTGTCTTCGTGCATTTCTTGCCAAGCTCCAGAAATGGCAAAGGAAAGTCAACGCAGGAAATGTTGCCATGTTTGAGAATCTTTCAACTGTTCTTGATGAGAATGAAGATCATCTGCTTGACCCAGCACTCAAAACTGAAATCACTCAGCACCTGAAATCCTTGGAAAGTGAGCTCAAAAAGTATTTCCCAGAATTCGAGGAGGAAGATGGGAAATTGGTGAGGGATCCTTTCTCTGGCACTCTTGATATTGCTACCATTCCCAATGATGTTCAGGACGAATTTCTTGATCTCAAGAATGATTCTGCTGCCAAAGATCTCTACAAAGAAAGATCTCTGACTGTATTCTGGTGCTCAATGTATCGGTCATATCCAAAAGTTAGCGAGGTTGCACTTCGAGTCCTCTTGCCTTTTTCAACTACCTATTTATGCGAATTTGGTTTCTCCACCCTTCTACATATAAAGAGTAAAAGCCGAAACCGGCTGGATGTGGACCCGGACATGAGATGTGCATTGTCAGTGACACAACCTCGGATCAGTCACCTGTCTGAAAGGAAACAATGTCAGCCTTCCCATTGAGCTGTGACAAAATATGCAGAGGTCATATGAACTTTTCCCCAACCAAATTCAAGTTTGCTGTGAGGCTTGTCTAGTAGTCACTCTAGTCTAGTGACGCCAGTTATGTAAATCATGTAAGTCTATCAAAATGTAAGATAATGATGATTGTCAACCTTGAAATAAAATAAGGGTATTCTCTTCATCTGCATTTTATTTTTCAACATTATTTTCGGGGGGGGGGGTGTTGGGAGAAAAACGAAGGAGGCCACGAGGATGTTGAAAATTCCTCAAGGGGGGAATGGAGTGAAAAAGGTTGAGAGCCACTGCTCTAGCCATTCTGTTACCCAAGTAATCCACAATCCATTTCAGCAACTTCCCAGAAATCTCTAAATTAATTAGTTCCTCAAGTAAAACTTCTTTATTTGCCCTATCAAAGGCCCCTTTTAAGTCTACAAAAGTCCTGCATGTAGCCTTGGAGTTATTCACACACTTTACAACACAGTCTGCAGTACTTCTCCCTTTCATAAATCCATGTAAATTGGGCGCCAAGAAACATCCCACTTTATACAACAACCTGTTTAATACTATTCTTTCCATCATTTTACTAAAACGAGAGGTCAAATATATTGGACGAAAATCTCCATTGTTCTTTGGTATTGGTACAATTACTGCTTTCTTCCACTTAATAGGGATACGACCTATTAAACAAGTCTGACAGGGGCCCTTCTCTAATACCAGCCAGACAGTTAAGGATATCATACGTTATTCCATCATCACCAGGTGCCGTAGACTTTCCCTTTTTAATCACATATAATAACTCGCCTCTCGTTATAGTAACACATGTATCATCCTCCAGTGTACACTGACTTTGGACTAACTCACTCCTAAGTGTACTCTTACTTTGCAATAAAGCCTGCACATTCTGACGTAATTCGGCAAAACCAGCAGTCCCAGCCCATTTCTTACTAAGTTGACTGGCCCTGTCCTGTGGGTCAGCGTAGCTATTGCCCTTTGCTTCGAACACCTCGCACATTATTCACTTCCTTCCATGTGTCACCCAAGCTCTTGCCTTTAGCGATTCTCCCTAAAAGTCTGTCCAGTATTTATTCCGCGCCTCTTGCTTGATTTCATTATCATTTGGATTTGCACTCCATTCTCTTTGCACCTTTGCACATTAACATACATATTACGTTTCTCATGATTTATTTCTCCTTTATAACTACACTTACTTGTCGTCAAAACAGAATCAATAATATGTAATAAATCATCATAAAAGCTATCAACATCCTTTGGTTCATAATCTGTCTACCAATCCTGTATAGTAATGATCAGCTCCTGTTTTTTGTCTTCCGGCAACCACTATCTTTTCCGCTTAATTAACTTCTGTATTTTGTTAACAGATATAGTAATTCGTAATGCAAAATGATCACTAAGCAAATCCCTATCTATGTCAGCATTCGCTCTTATTCCACATGTATTAAAACATAATGCATAATCTAACCTTCCTCCATGTATGTGGGTAGGCTCATGATTCCACAATATTTCGATATCATCAAATTCCTCCAAGAAGTGAAACCATCTCCTTCCATTAATGTTGCTGGGTCCCATAGTACCCAGGACTTCGTGTCTAGCATTAATATCACCAACCAAAACATTAGGCACTGAAGCATGTCATCAATATCCAAGCTTTGAGGATGTACATAGATGTTAACAATACATATAGACCTCCCTTGGACGTAGATTTTAACACACAAACTCTCAACCCCATCCTGCTTGCCAGCTATTACCAATTCAACCGGTACATTTTTCCGAGCATAAGTTAACAGACCTCTTGTATTATTTCTATTATTAGCTGGTAAACAGAAACATTAATAATCACGTGAATTCATCCAATTATCATCCTCCGTGCCCGTCTCTTTTAAGGCTATAATATCCACCTTATACAACAGTGCATAAGCATGCTCATCTGTGGTCTTAGAACGTAAGCTATTTACATTCCATGAAAGTATACTTAAACTAGTGTCCTCCATTTCCCTTATTAACAACAGGAACTAACCTTATTCTCTCATTCACGAACTGCTCCATTACGTCTTTCACTCGAGCTCATACCTTATCAGGTAATATTACGGGTATGTCGCCCCACTTGTTGGTTATCTCTTCCCTTATGTCCACATTTCCGGTCCCCCAAAGCAAAGATGGTTTTCAGGTTTTAATACTGTATTATTTTCAACTTTCTTTCCTCTTAGTTCAACGTCCACATTTCTATGTTCACAAAAATGGGCAATTACCTTCTGGTTGTCCTTTACTTTTTTCCTAAGCATCTGAATTTCTTGCCAGAGTTGAATTACTACACCATACACATCACCAAACTGTCAATTACCTTATATTCTGGAACAACTTTTGGTGCAGCTCCTGCACCATTTCCTATTACCTTCAACGTGTCACTCTGTTCCACTCTCTTCTTCCACACGTTCTCAGTTGAAGGAAGAGTAGTCTCATCTGCAACTCCTCGTCCTTCTTCCTCTTCTCGCTGTTGCACTTTCTCCATGCTCTGCCACCGTGCACCACGCATCTGTGGCTTCTTGTGGCAAAATTGAGGAACCTGCATTATGCACGCCGTCACAATTGCAATAGCACGGCACAAATTATTGCCCAGACTTCATTTTATTTCCACATTCTATTGAATTATGATTTTTCCACAGTAACGACACCGACATTCACTTTGACATTTCCAGGCCATATGGCCCCACCCGCTGCACTTGTAACACAGAGCAGGTTGTTCAATAAACTTTGCAATTCTCCTATATCCTATTCCAGAAATGAATATCTTCTCCGGAGCGTCTCCCATCATCAGAGCTACCACTTGATTCTTCTTCTCATCTCGGATTTCGTGTCGCTTTGCCCATACAATTCGTGTATCGCCAAGAAGAAAATCAGGATCCAGTAACCGGGTACATGAAGACGATCACCTTGGTGTGGTGTTCTGCCTCCTGAGGCATCGTCATTATCACTCCCTTAAATCTTGTCGTCGTCAAAACTTTTACCGCCTCATCCCAGCTACATTCAGAAAGGAATTATTACGACCTTCCTTAAGCAGGGGTTCAAACTTTTTATGCTCTCTTCCCAGTGTAGCAGCCCACAGCAACCGCTCATAGAATGACATGCGTAAATCACTTGGGAAGTTCAACCTCCTCTTACTTGAGCTGTTTCCACCACCCAGGTTGCTCGGTACATAGGTACTTCACGATGATCCATTCGATTAACCTGCTGTGTTTTATTCCCAGTTGAATTCTTTCTTATTTCTTCTGTGTGTGCAGTCCTCTTCTTCCTATATTTCATGATCTCATCACTATCACTTCCTTCACTTTCTTCGACAACTCTCGCCTCCTCTTCTTTTCTTTCTTACTAATTGCCTCTTGAAAACTGTCTGTTACCTCCATTGTTGTTGGCCGCGGATGATCTGCTTCCGATTCGCTACTTGAAAGCTGTTATATAGTGCAATCTTTTCTTCTCTAACCAAAGCCCTCACATGTTTCTGCCCACTACTTGCCCCAGGCACGGTGCAAAGCTTAGGCAGCCAGTGAAAATCAGTAGTGTTGTCGCAGAGTGCGAAGCTGACACGTCCGACCAGTACGGCCAGCGTTCAGAGAATCCTCAAGTTCTCAACGATCTAGGAAAAGTCTTTCCTTGACGCACTCATTCAAACCATGGTGGAGTAAGTGTACGAATGAACTCTCCTATTTACAGAATAAACTTAGTTTGGATATAGGTATAATGCAATAAGATCATTTTAGTGATGATATTGGGATCTTAGAATATAATGCATAAATGTAACATAATTATGCTGTTATAGTCATCGCCTATTAGTTTTGCATGAAACGAGACATGGCCCGAGACAGTGGCTCGTGCACATGGTCGTGATCCATCACAGCCCAAACAACACCCCTCACCTGCTTCCTACCTCAGTTACTGTTAACTGTTACCAGAACTGATAGGCCACAAGTTCCAAGACCTCTCTCCCGGGGGGCCGTTTCTTTTATGAGTGATTATACGTTGGTGGTTCTGGTCTTGAGGCGAAATTACGAAAGGAATTGTGCCTAAATATAGACTTAGGGAATTATATGAAGCGATAATGTTTTGGATACTGATATGAAAGCTGTTTGGTGTTAACTTTATGTGTTTTAAGGTTGGTAAGTGTATACTGTACACGAGATGAGTGATGCTAAGATGATACGCTCTCTCTCTCTCTCTCTCTCTCTCTCTCTCTCTCTCTCTCTCTCTCTCTCTCTCTCTCTCTCTCTCTCTCTCTCTCTCTCTCTCTCTCTCTCTCTCTCTCTCTCTCTCTCTCTCTCTCTCTCTCTCTTTCTCTCTCTTTTCATCTGCCTCTCTCTCTCTAGCTTTTCAATCCCGACAAAACACCGTTTGAATCTGAAATGCTTTTGAAAATTTGTCAGGTAAAATTAAAATATCGAACCCTTTGATGCCGTACCTAATATCACGTTGGAGAAAACGTGAAAGTGATGGATCGAATGTCAGATTTCTGATATCCAAAGTTGCGGACTCGACATCCATCTTCAATATATATATATATATATATATATATATATATATATATATATATATATATATATATATATATATATATATATATATATATGTTAGCATAGAGGCTCTTGGGCCACCAGCTGTGTGCTCTTGTAGTGTCTTCTTTTAGCTGGCAGAAGATTGGTCCTCCAATTCTTCAAGTTTGCTCCAAATTGTCTGAGCTCGGCTGTGTGTACGTGTGTTCAGTGGTTCAATATTGTATAGTTCGTGAAGTTCTTGTATTTTGGTGGTGTTGTCATGGTCACATTGACTGCTGGCCTGTTTTAAAACTGATGATTCTTATTATACTTCACGTCCGCACAACATTCCTAGGAAGAAACGCGTTTTACACCAAGGATCCCTCCGTAAGCCCCGCCCTGTGAACACTGTTGTCAATGCGTGTATTCCACTTTCTCCTGGCAAGCTCAATCTTGAATTAGTTTAAGTAAATCAACTTCAGTAATTCGCCAGTCCCGTGTCAACTGAGGGTCATCTTTGAATGTGTAGCAGTTGGTTTGTTTGTAATTTTTGTCATTGCGTGAGTAGCCACCTCTAGCAACTCATGGGTATAAAAACAATGTGTGAGAAGGGAGACGTCCTTCCCTTGACGCTTCTCCACATTTGTTCTCAGGTATGTAAGACAGTGTTCCCCGCCGATATTGCCATTCAGTTTGACTTAGTCAATTTTGTGAGTATCAGTGTTCATGTTGTGACAGTGAAATTGTCATTTACTCAGTGTGAGAATTACTAGTAATGTAAATGTCGCCTGTCGCTGCCAGACGAGAGATTGTTGTGATTGAGTCATCACCATCCTTCCCGTGACGCTTCTCCACATTTGTTCTCAGATCCTGTGTGTGGGTTATTTGAACACCCCACCGACTGCCCGGAGTCGGTGGATACCTAACAATTAGCTGTAGTGGGACGATGTCGCCGATTCGGCAGGATAAATTTGCTCCACTCAACATCGTGGGGCTGGACCCCAGACCCACCACGTGTCGGAGTACAACCGACCACAACAGCTGTCGTCAGTTGTTGAGTGTCCTACCCTGGGACACTCCTGGAAGTTATATGGTCCACAGTGTTTGTTGTATGGTTTGGGGATAATTATCTGGAATATAATTATCCCATGTTGGGTAGTGAACCCATGTATAACTTGTTGGTTTCAGTAGTAACGTGTTGTGTGTTGTGAGTGCATCTCGTATGTACTAACAACAGTCTAGTGAAGCATCAGATGTAAGTTTGTCTTGTAATGTAAGGTAATGTCATGTACCACCAGTAATGTGTGAGAAGTAAAAGTGTCCACTTGGATTGGCAGTTAAGAGAAGCCAAGGATTGATCCTTATAGCTGTACATAATGTAATGTAACACCAGTAAGGTTGTGAGTAATAAGAGTATAGTATCTAAGTGAATTGTCGTTGAGTTAAGCCAAGGTCTGAACCTTGGAGTTGTATGTTAATGACATCTTTTTCCCTACTTTAATTTTATTAATATACCTTTTCTTAGAGTATATTAGGGGTATTAATTTCACCTCGGTATCCACCTTTATTTCTGTCCAAGTGACCTTGATACCAGAATTGCAGTATCCATGTGCCTTCCCTCGCCATGCTACCGAAAGAACTGAGGTTATGAAGTAACCATGAATTGAAATATGTAGACAGAACAATAGAAGGAACGAAGACAGAGAGAAGTATGAGATAAGGGTGGCCTCGGTGGTTCAGTCGGAAGTAGTAGTAGAGTCCGCCGCCCTTTCAATGGTGGCAATTAAAGGCCCCGCTCTTACAATGGAGTAAGTAGAGTGTTCCGCCCTTACAGTGTATGGGGG